CATCCACCGGAAACCGACCAACCCTGACAGACGGGGGCGTACAAGTCTACCCACTGCCCGAGGTAGTACAGAAAAGAAAAAAAAATATATATATATATACATTACCACGCACCCTAAATGGTCGCCCTCTTAAGAAGCATACGATATCATATATACTTAAAGTCGAATTGTCTATGTGTTTAGAGTTCGTCCTCACTTGAGGTGTCAGTCTCACACACAAAGTCTCTCAAGTAGTCAGGTGGACGAGTACGCCGGGTGGGGCGGGTGGCGCGATTGTCGTCAGCATGGCGCGTACAGGTACCTCTGGCGATTTCACAAGTGTCCGTGGGATTGCCAGGGTCGCGGACAGGAACTGCTGACGGTGTCGCCCGCCGGGGGGCGGGAACCGGCACTTTTGGGTGAGTGGCACTGCTCCCGTCTTGGCGCGTACAAGTAGCTCTGGCGGTTTCACAATTGTCCGTGGGATTGCCAGGAACTGTTACTGTTGGCGCACTCCGGGGGGCGGGAACCGGCACTTTTGGGTGAGTGGCACTGCTCCCGTCTTGGCGCGTACAAGTAGCTCTGGCGATTTCACAATTGTCCGTGGGATTGCCAGGAACTGTTACTGTTGGCGCACTCCGGGGGGCGGGAACCGGCACTTTTGGGTGAGTGGCACTGCTCCCGTCATGGCAGGTTCTTCTCGGGGCACGGACAGGGGCTGCTAACGGTGTCGCACTCCGGGGGGCGGGAACCGGCACCTTCGGGTGAGTGGCACTGCTCCCGTCGTGGTTGGTACGTCTGGGGGCACGGACCGGAACTGCTGGTGGTGTCGCCCTCCGAGGGGCGGGGACCGGACCTGAAACAGATAAAGAAGAAGGGGGGCTGTGCCCCGGGGGTTGGGTGTCCCTGTCAGGGGAAGGGTCCGGCGACCTTCTCTGGGGACGCTGGCGGCATCGAGGTCGGGGAGCTCTCTCTCCCACGTAGTCGGGGTCCTGTTGCTGTGGACGAAACGGGATTAAGTTCTCGAAGTGGACGACTTTCTCGTCCCGTCGTCCCCTGTTATTCTGGATTTTGTAGGCCGAGTCGCCTACTCTTTGCAACACGGTATATGGCCCGTTATACTTCCGGGCTAGTTGCGGCTAACCCTTCCCAACGCCTTAATTTAAAACCAGTACCTCATCCCCACATCGTAGGGGTTGCCATGGAGCTTCTTATCAAACAGGTCTTTTTGCCTTGCCTGCCCTTGCCGAGTGTTTGATTGTACGAGAAGAAATATTTTGGGGAGGGTAGCGCTCAGCCCGGTTACAAACTCGGGGATGTCTACAGATGGGGAGGGGTCGCCTACAATCAACTGTATGGGGAGTCTGGCTTCCCTCCCGTGTAAAAGGAAAAACGGCGAGAAGCCTGTAGTGGCATGCTTGCTAGTATTGTATGCAAGTTGCACACCCGGGAGGTATGCGTCCCAGTCCCGCTGATGGGAGGAAACATAGGAACGAAGAATCGCTCCCATGGTTCGGTTGAACCGTTCCACCAGTCCGTCACCATGTGGTGTTCGGTTACATTTTGTAGCAAGATTGAAGAGGCTGGTCATTATATACACATGTGCATTATATATATAGAGAGAGAGAAACCATGTGAAGGTAGACTTTATCTATTTGCATTTACAAATGTTACCTTTCTATTTACTACAACTAAAGCATTCGAAATGATAATAAAATGATCGACTGAATCTTGCTATAATTGTCATAGTTAAACATGTTCGTAAACAATTATAGCTGCCGTTTCAACTCACCCCTTTTCCTTGGTAGCTGTTCCCTGTAGTACTCGTGATATCCCGTGATCCTCCTCTTCCTCTCCATCGTGTCTGGCGGCGGTCTCCTCTTACTGCCGCCTTTACTCTTACGGTAGTTACCGATGAAGTTCTGGAAGGACAATAATTTGATTCATCTATTGTCTTGTACGTAGGTCAATATTGTTGTACCCACGTATCTGTCTGTATGTCTACATGTAGATGACTACCTTACGAAAGTCGCTGTATTTTTTGTTGTCTATAGATATCTCTATGAAACACAGTATACTTGTCAAAGTTTAAGTCCAGGTATGGCGGAACAGGCACTATCACATCACTGAAAATCATATTTGACATGTTTGACCAGACCTGGTGATAACTCGATACAACCAAATCAGAGGATGTCCCCTCCTATTCTCGAGACTGGAACCTGACCTAAGATACTGTCAGACCTGGTCTGGGACTAAGGATAGACGGTTTGTGAAAAGGAAAATGCTCTAGACTATGGGGTTGGACTAAATATAAGATATCCTGTTTGATATTGCCACCAATAGTAAATGGGGATTGGGGAAGAGGAGTTATGTACAACATTTTTTTATTAACCACCGATGATAATGACTAATATCGACTATAGTAGTCGACATTAGAAAGCTATCTTGTCAATAGGAATGTAAGACGTGTAATATGTTTGGTAATACCATGACTTGGTCAACTGTTTTCCCGCTCTCCTTAGCTGCTTCTTGCATCAACGGACAATCCTTCTTCGCCTCAGTCATTCCTCTTTCTTCATAGAACCGGACGAGTACAGGATCGTAGCCTTTCTTACGCGTGGAGACTTCCTGTAAACATGCACACGTGAAAGTAAGTTTTGTTTGGTATGAGGGCGGTTCTACATTTCTTTCTTAAACACTTCTAGTCATTGCAGTAGGCTAAAATTGGACATGTATAATTATACATACATGTTTCTATAGATAGATCACATGCCTTCCAACTGCGCTTGTAGCTAAATGTTTCTACGCAATTCTTATGATTGTAATAAAATCATTCAAATACTAGCTAGCATGCGTTCCAGGGGAACTAAAGAAAACAGCTTTATATCTTCTTCAACTTGTAGTAAATAATGTTATCAGCAGTTGTTTGTAAACCGAAGTGTTTGACAAGGAATTTACAGTCATCTCAATCATATTCTTTAGATATAATGCTTTATGATTTTGTATCACGTAAGTTTTGAAGTGACTCACATTATTCTCTTGTCGGAGAAGCTTCAATATTTCCTTTCTACCACGAGTGATTCGTTCTTCATCATCTTCGTCGTCCGGATAAGCGTCACGTGTGTCCTCATCTGCAGCGATGTCCTCCGCCGTTTCACCAAACTGGGAATGAATACGCAGTGAATTATAGCCTTATGAATGTTAAAAATTTTTGAAAAAAAAAACACGACTGAATGAGTAGACAATATATATTATGCATCTAAAACATATATAGTACACAGTATACCGTAGGTACAACAGCAAAGCCCATGTCTAGAAAGAAATAGGTTTGTAGGTGTTTATGTGATACGATGCAGGAATATCAGAACACATCGTGATTTGTGTGTTTATCCCAACAACAGCTTCCTCCTTGCCTCGGACAGTAAATTTCATCATGATGATGTGGGTCATCATTTTTTATCAATTTTTCTCCCAAAAGAAGTAAAGCCAATATTGCATTTCTGGATTGGTGGTCAGTTATTTACCAGAGAAGCCGAAGAACCGACTGACCTTGTTCCTGAGACCGGCATCAGCCCCGTACTGCAGCAGTATTTCCGCACACTTGGGGAGGCCCCATCTAGCTGCGTTATGGAGGGGTGTGTCTTCCTGTTGGGGCATTGACAGTGCAATTTTTCATCCTTAGAATAATCAAATAGCAACCCCTTATGAATGTATATATTTACATCACTTGCTGACTCCAAGCTCGCTTGAAACCATTCCCTACCTTTGCCATTCATACTGGTTGTTTCTAAAAATGGACAATCACGGTAACAATGCAACGTAGATCCTGCTGACATTTTTTACAGAATATTTTTCAATTTCGTGTCTTAATCAGGTCATCGACCCCTGGCCTTTTTTGCCATGCGATGGCGTAGTTACTTCCGAATTCGTTGCGTTTCGCTGCGGTGTGAAGCGTTGAACGACAATAACCCCAAATTGTACATATACAGGGCACCATATGCATAATAATGTCTGCGCAATCCATGCTTTATGACACCGAAAAATGTATAATGTATTCCGACAGTTAATTATATGCTGTATAGCCCCATGCCTTCCAATCCGTACCAGCGTCATGTTGGCAACAGTTTAAATTGTAGTCAGCAAGTAAACCACTAAGTAAGAAGAAGAGAAGATGATGTCAAATCTTACAAGATGATACAGAAATATTTCTTGTTTCTCGGCAATTAGTCTACCTACCCTATCGTCCCGTGCGTTCACATCTGCACCAGCTGTCAGTAAAACTGACACAGTTTCATGGTGGCCATTCCAGGCTGCCCAGTGCAGGGGAGCGTCTTCCTGTAAAATACATCAGATGGTCTATAGCATGACAACAGGTCGGACGAATGTGCAGTTATTTTGTTGACAATTCTAACGGAGTTCAGCAAGTAAACCGCTATACAGCTGACATTAAATGGCCTTTAGCACGACAACAGGACGGACAAATGTTCATGTCGGTGGCAGCTCTAAAGGTAGTCAGCACATCAACCGTTATGTAAAAATGAATGTCAAATCTTACAAAATGGTACTGAAATATTTCTTGTATCACAATAGTTAGTCTACCTACATCAACGTCCCGTGCGTTCACATCTGCACTAGCTGCTAGCAAAGCTGATGCAGTTTCATAGTGACCATTCTGGGCTGCCACGTGCAGTGGAGTCCGTTGCTGTAAAACACATCATGGCGGGAACTAGTAGTAAGTAGTAAGAAGTAAACTAGTAGAAGTAAAGTTGGAGCTGCTGAAGCTACTGGCACAAATGTGGAAATTTCCAAATATTGCTTTGTTTTGTAAAATGTTACGGATATGTTACAGACAAGCTGAAAGCTGAAGACAGGTGCAGCGACCAGTGCGGCATTGCCCTTCCCATCTGTGTCTTTTATAAGCGTTTTGCCCCTCCTGCCTCTTGATTTTCATTGCACATCATTAAATTTTTCATCACCATATATAAGCAAAATAACGAAAGACATAGCAACAAACCCAAAGACCAGCAGCATTAGGGTTGACTCCCCCCGCTAACAGCTGCTTCACTCTGTCCGTGTCTCCTTCCTCTGCAGCCTTCCACAGCGCCTATAGCGGCGGCAGACAGGAACAGGAGAAACAACTGTCAACACTCAGTCAATCAGAACAACACTCGGCATGTGAGAAGAATAACACCTATCCCTTCATTTATCCGTCATACTGATATTTCACTTCCTTTCATGTCTCTCAGTGTAAAGATATGAAAATATATATCATTTATCTCCTCTATTTGTGCATAGCTCACATATGTTTATTGTTTATTTTATGACTCAACGGCCCATAGTATACAGACACATAACATGGCACAAACTCATGAAAACTTACATCAAAGTATGTACAGATAAATGTAAAAAAAGACTACCGAGCTGTCCTGCCGCAAGGAAGCCACCTTACATCTACATCAGGCTAGAGGAAAAGGCCTGTTATAGATATACTCCACTATATGCACTGTGGGGCTTGTCTGTATGTGACATCACTTCTATCTTAAATAATGTTTTCTTTACTACCTTCTCGTCTTCATCCTCGTCCTCCCAACTCGACTCTTCAGACCCGGAATCCTCTGACCCGGACTCCTCGTCTTCCTCCATTGTCTCCTGTTCTCTCCCGTCCATGCCTGGTCTGACCCTACAGATAGATACACACCACCTGCCTAGTGACACTGTCGTAAGTAAGACTAGATGGATCTAGTGCCTTCCTGTAGCGCAAAAACAGACCCACAGATATATCATTTCTCTCCCTATATACAATATTATGGCAGTGGAACAGACATTGCATCATGTACAGTTCACTCACGACATACCTGATTTACAAATTATAAAGCGTTTCCGAACACTGTAAATGAAACTGTACAAACAAAGGAGCGATAATTTCAAAGCCATACAAACAAAGCGTCAAAAACTTTCTAATTCATTCAACATGAACAGTTTATCTGTGTGCTAAAGGACTGTGGTAAAAGTTTCTTTAGTTTTTGTACTTTCAGGCGGTTCAACATCTGGCAGGTGCACCGTTATACACCTGTTACTTCCGGGTTTACCTGGACTTTTCCAGAAGTGTCTTGGGAGAGTCTGACGACCTTTTCCCAGTCTTTAAGGTCTCTGCAGGGCTCTTTGACTCTCCAGGAACCAAAGGCTGTTAGTTCTGACGTCACAAGACGTACAGGTGAGTTCTCACGGCGTCTTGAAGACAGAGCTGGTCCGTTACGTCCGCAGGTGAGAAGGTCAAATAAACTTCGGTAGGTCTCCCATGATTCATAGCGCGCGCGATGACGCACTCCGTAGTAACGGGGTGAATGACCTCAGGACGATTTGCCGGTATACTGGCTGTGGTTAGTGTGGGACATGTATATCTTAGATGATTGTTAACCTAACGTGATACATAGGCCCAGAACTCACACATTGAATTAGTCCTAACATTTTTTTTAGTTAGGACTAATTTAATTGTTTATCTCTATGTATTGATCTCAAACAAGACTTTTACATTATTTTTTAATTTTCGTACAACTTCCGTCATATTATCTCAGTCTAGCTTATACAGCATTACGTGAATGATTAATTAGCAATTGCAAATATTTTCGCAGTTTTTCTCTTTAACATTCGGATGGTCGTTATTATTTTTTTGCAACACCAAGCTAAAGCTACAGGATGGATGCTGCAGCTTTCTCCGCCAAAACACCCGAGATACATACATACATGTCCGGCCACTGCTGTCGTCTATCACCTTGCGAGGTATGGTAGACCTTTTGGCAATGCATAATCTTGCCAAATACTACAGAACGCTCCTATAATTTCTTCAACTCTAGTTTATTTCCGCTCCTGGCTATAGTTGACCTTGAACACGTCGGTTCCTCCGGTTCCTTTCTTCCTCTGCCCTGGTGCAAACCGCGACTCTGTGGCGAGACGTTTCAGTAAGAGAAACTGAAGAACAAAATGTACTCCTTATAGTGTAGTCTGCGTTTATGTGAGATTCTCTATCATACTTGAAGCATTTGTTTGCAGTCTTTAGCAACGCTTTATCTACGATGGTGGAATCATCGTTTTTGTGCTCCTTTATTTCCTGAAACCAGTGAGTAGAAATTGTACACACAGGCCGTAGGCTTCTTCTCCGTCTTCCATGTTGTTTTAGGGGAGACACAAGTGTCAGTAGACAGCGTTGCGCGACCGCACTCTTACCTGGACCTGGTGTTTTTGTGAGCTATGAAGTTATAGGCTGTAGAGGACTGCAGACTTTAGGACTGAACCTGGCAAATGAATGAACTAAATGTGCCTAATGTATACTATAACTGTTTTGTACATGTAAATGTTACGTTATTTGTATATTGTTGTTTTCAACTTGACAATGTGTAATTTTTTTATGAATGTAATTTTTAATGTGTGCCCAGGGATACCTGAAAATCAGATCAACGGATCTGAGATATGCCCTGGTAAAATAAATAAACTTGAACCTGAAATAAAGGATGGCAAGTTATAGAGGATTTATAGTTTGATTTGTGTATTACCAGACAGGTAGAGTTGACATCAGTAGCCCCAAATACCACGCCATGCACGTGGGCGATCTCTTACCTAACATTGGGCAAACAACAGTGATGACATCATGCTATCATACTGCTCGGCTAAACGGTGAACCCTTCCTTTGAACAGCGTTAACAACTCTTCACCGTCTACTCTCAATCCTGCGGAGTTGTGTACAAGAGATACGTTTTGAGCCTAGGAATGATGTACAACAGTCATACTGGGAGGGTTGGGTTTGTACATGCAGGGACTTCCCCTGTGACTTGACGTTTTGTAGCGTGGCGCTGTGAACCGTTCAGCATTTTGTGTTTGTCGCACAATCTTGTAAGGAAATAGTAGACCAAACCCCATCGTATGACTAACGCCGTGTGCCTGCGAAGCTGGTGTTATGCCGGCCGGCCGTTATACCGGCTATACCGATACAGAAGCTGGTGTGTTACGCCGAAGGGCGGTTATATCCGCTATACAAATACAGGAGCTGGTGTTATACGCCAAAGGGCGGTTGTACCGGCTATACAGATGCCGAAAGGCTATACAGATACAAAAATATTGACCAATTAAAAAAAAAACTAGTTGTGACTTCTTGTACATCGATGAAAACATAACCTTATTGCTGTGTCTGCTCTCCGGTTCTTTGTGTGCATTTTGTTACGATTTGTTACGTTTAGAGACTAGGAATCATTTACAGCATCCATGCTGAGAGGGTTGTGTTTGCACCATGAAGTTGAGGTGTTCTTTGCAACCGAGTGTGTGTAAACATAACCTGCGTACTGTGTCTCCACTCCGTACAATGCTCGATGTGTACAATAGGTACGTCATGAGCCGGCTGACATTTGTACAACATCAATACCGGTAGGATTTCTTTTGTACAAGCAGAGACTCTCACCTGCTTGTTCCGACTAGGTTCAATGATGGTATGTCATGTTTTGTCCGAATATGTAAGATTCTCAAGTGCGATAAAAATCTCATGACCAATTGGAACAGTAAAAAATTCTAATAATATTGCTGTTTTTTTTTCAGCCTAAATTAGTCTCAGCAAAGGGGAAGCAAAGTTTAACGTATTATTTCAAACCAAACCATTTCTTTGCAGATATTTCAAAGGACATTTTGTTGGAATGATAACTGGTCAAAGACAATCTGATGTTTCCGTCCAGTATTTCTATACGTGCCATGTACCTGAAGTCTGTACCCACTAGCGCTATTGTGCCACCTATTAGGCAATAGAGGTCAACCATTTCTGTCCGCATACTTCTATCCAGCCCCAAACACCACGTCTTGCACTTCTCATACTTGGCATTGGGCAAACAACAGTGATGACATCATGCTATTATACCTCACAGCATAGCAGTGAAACCTTACTTAGCCACAGTGTAAACATGATCTTTGCACCGCGCTTAGTTTTGAGCCTGTATAGTTGTGTACAAGAGTTATGCTTTGGGCTGGAGCTCATGTACAACAGCCATGCCTGGAGGGTTGGGTTTGTACTTCAAGGGACTTCCCCCTGTTCTAATGACCTATTGATCGTACGGTCGTACCACTTTCTTCAGGAAGGGTGGCTAAAAGTTTGTTGAATGAATATAAATGACTTAATCCTGTGACGCATATTATGATTTGTTTATCAATTTCAGTTTGAAGATTGTTTTTATAATTTTTTTATGACAAATGTATTTGAAAGCCTTTTCCAAATGCCTGGAACCACAACAATGTGATTGCATGTACCCCTGCATGATAGACTCCCCTAACTCCGCCCACTTTGTATAACACTCGTGTTGCCTGACAAAAGTTACTCCGATCACCTTCCGACAATACTAGTCACACTACAACTAGTACTTTGATATTTATTGAGGCAGGGAACGGGTACGGTAGTAAGCTACAGCATGAGTTTTTTGCGAATCATTCGACTCGGAATACAACTCTGGGACATTTATAAAAACTACAAGAGGCTGAACACCAAGCCTAAGATAGGTAAGTTTTTTTTCTATGCACATGTCTACATGTATAGGAACCTTTTCTTCGAGTTGCAATCCCGGGGGCAGTAGTAGAATTTCACTACCCGTCGTAAGGATTCCAAGGACCATTTACTTGATGTGATTATTACAAACTGGAGTCTTTGTGACACGATCCTCCAACTGAACATTGCTGCCTGAAATGTTTTTGTCATGCGACTCATTTTTTCAAAGTTTCATCGATAATACCGGAAGAGCAGAAGCATTTTCAACTATCACATGTTAACCGGTCAATGTTAACATGTCATATAGACGTTGCTCACATTAAAATACATAGTAACATGTAGATATGATTATATCTTGAAGAAGACGTATGAAGCCATTGAATTCAGTTTAGTGCGCGATTTTAAGTTTTGAAGAGGTCGTCTTAAGTCGTGTGTTCACTGTTCATTTGTGTCAGGAATAAGTAATGGCCACAATGTTTTACTTAACAAAATCCGTAAAATTACTCTCTGTATGTGTAACTCTGATATTAAATTGACCAACGATGACCATAAAACGGAACGGGAGAAAAGCTAGTCTGACATCAGGTTGGTCGCGCTAAGTACAAGCCATTGCCTCCATGGCTGTCTGTTGTACGTAAATACTCAATAAGGCATGTTTCATTTGAGTCTGAATGGCTGAGTGCTTACTGTGTATTCGTGTAACAAACAAGTAATTGCCACAACATTTAGTGCCTTAACAAACTACGTCAAACTATTGTGTATTTAAACGTGTAACTCTGATATAAAACGACCAAAGCTGAAATAGGTTTACAAGCGGAAAGAGAGAAAAGTTGAGGACAAGCTTGGTACAAGCCATAGCTTCCGCGGCTGACTGTTGTACGAGAATAACCTGTAGCCGTACTGAATGCTTTACTGCGTAAATAAAGACCTTTGTGCCGCACAATAGGCAGCAGGTAGAGTTACCAGTCAGGTGAGTCAGTGGGAAACGTAAGATTTCATTCTAGAGAGGTCAGGATGTCAACAATGAACAATGCATGTTGTCTTGCTCGTACACCGATGTTTATGTCGAAGTTATAAGCCATCAATTACATGTCACCGAATTCTATTTCAGAGGACGAATCTCAACCCCCTCCCACACAAGTGGACGGACCCGAGCATAGTAATGGTGGACGTACAATCTATTGGGGTTGTGTCAACCGGACCTACCATGTAACAGGCGACAAAGGTACTCATTTTGTTTTGACACAGGCTAAATATATAATATTTCTAGCATGCACTTGAGCTTCTGTTTGATGACATGAAATTCAAAAGCATTACACAGATGGTTTGAAGCCATTTCAAGTGTAACTCTTAACGGTACAGGGTAATACTGCTACTAACTCGTGTTTTTATCTTGAATACTTCAGAGTCTGTGGCGAAGGGTAGACGTGATGACCAGGCTGGTACCAATGACACAGGACTGAAGATCTATGTGGCCTGTGTTGTAGAGAACTATCACGTCACCACGGACAGAACAACGTGATATTATAGGCACACAGCAGCATCGAGGGGGGGGGGGCAACCATAATAACAACGTATGACAATCAACAAGAACTACTGCTGCTGCCATGTCTAACGGGATTTCATATGATCACTTACCTGAACAGAATACAACATGTACGACACCATTGCACCTGCTTTCTTAAATGACATGTAATTATAGGCTGCTTGCATTGTATTACTATCATGGTTGTAGCACTCTTTATAGTGGTTTATAAAGTTCCAGAATGCCATAACATAAAATAGCAAATAGGACGTTGATGTCTTTGATTAAGATTCACAGATATGCATGTATTACGTTCAAGAGCATGGCTGTCATTGCAGTTCAACAATGAAATGCTGTCAGGTCATTTTTGGGCACATTACAGCATTTGTAGATTTCAGTTTCTGAAGAAATACCTAATTAGCCTTATCAACATTGTTTACATGTATATGTAAAAAAGGTAAAGCTATGTCCATTTAATTTACCATGAAATTATGAAAATATTGGAGTACACAAATACATTGCATAGCCATCTACATGTAGTTTATTGTAGATCAAACTATTGTACAATAGGCAAAAGAATATCAAAATATTACTGTAAATCAACATTTGGTCCTTTACAAAAGTTAAAACCTACATGGTTAGAACCTGGTGTTGATTACTCGTTACAAATCTAAAACACAGAAGAACAGATGATAAGTCCCGATCTTCTTTGTTTTTACTGGAAGCAGCTAACGTTACTTCACATGGATAACTTTCATTACATTACAAACATAAGTGCAACGCTATGGTTATACAGCTCACCTATTTTCTATGCAATCTGCAGATCCATAAAAGAGAGCATCCTTATCATTCCCAAACTGAGCTTTAAGTCCTAAATAGTCTGTTTAGCCATAGTTATGTCGTTCATGTTCACCAATATAATATATCCAGCGTACTTCTGTCCATACCAACATGGCCGCTTGAATGGTTCTCTTCCGAGGCAGGGTGTTGAACAAAACTTGTCCACAGTGAATCAAACACTCTCCACTGTACCCTGTTCCAACAGTCGGCTTCTTCAACACTTCTGCCACATTGTCAATAGTTTATCGCGTATAAAAAGTCCCATTTTGGGGCAGGATATTCCCAAAATGCGACAGAAACTCTTTCACTTTCTATTGACACGTACGACGTGCCCCCACCCTGACCTGGTATCCTAGCGACCAGTGACGTCAGAGGCAGGTGCCCGAGGTCACACAGGTAGTAAACAAAGAGGTCAGGTACCGGTGTACTGCACCTGGATGCTGTCGTCTTAATAGAAGATGCCACTTTTGAGAACTCTCATAATGCCTTATCTAGATACCAACTTTGATTCATGCTTTTAATACATTATGTACATGTAATTTATATGACAGAGCATATTACAACATATTTACTGAACAACAACTTCCATAATGGCCTGTTCATGTATTGAGATATCTGCTTGTATCTAGCGATGATGAGGCATTGCAAATACTAACGGACTGGGAGGAAACGGTTCGCTTGTGGTCCCGACTCCTGCAGGTGCCTGACGAAACGTTGGAGTCACCTGGGAAGGCACAGAAGTCCCTAAGCTCGCTGCTGTGGGGATCTGTGGTGCCGTGTGTGGGAGTCCTGTTGTCATGGCTGGTGTTCCTAACAGGGAATAGTTTAATAGTGGATTTACGAACATCCCAAAGACTGACTTAAAAATTTCATAGACCAATGCTGGTTCACTTCAAATATTGAATGAAATAGGTCCTAATACATGGGAATGTGAAACAATAGGTTGCAAGGTAAATATCAAATAAACTTAACACGCCTCTTGTACAAGCCAGTATCAACAATCAGTGTATGTAGAGCCATATAGAGCCATATGTATAGAATTGTTGTAGGAAGGCAGAGACAAAGAAAATATTGGCAAAGTCTGTCAAACAGCTTCTGACAAAGGTATGGATGTTCCAAACTAACTACAGGTACCAACCTTGCGTTAAAGATGTTGGCAGGGCAGCAGGTAGGCTCCGTGATTGCCATGCTGTTCTGTCTTGATGTCGAAAGTAATTGTCCACACCTGTGGGCACTTGACGAACAGCAAATGCTGTTTGAGTTGTTTGCGGTGACAGAATCTCAACAGTACCTATGGGCAAACAGCGAATACCTGGGGGCATCTGATGAATTGTTTGTGATTCTGTTGGAGTTGTTTGTGGTCCTAGCTGTACAGGAGTCCCTGTGTTGTGTGGTGATGCAGGGAAAGAGTTGAGTGGATCTAGAAGTGTTGCTGACTGCTGTGCCAGAAGTTCAAGATTCCCTGTGTTTGGTTGTGCAGGGGTAGATGTTGCTCTGTGTGGTGATACCACATGTACAGGAGTCACTGTGTTTTGTGGTATGTCTGTTATTCTGGGTAGAAGTCCTTCTGTTGTGACTGCTGACTCTGGAGAAACAAAAATACATTTTTGCAAGTGACTTCAACTGGGAAAGGAATCCATCAATTTTATTACATACGTACACACGTAGTTATATTCATATCCTTGTTCAAGATAAGTTATGCCCTCCTTCAGTGAATATTTATCATGGTAAAGTCCAAATTGATATTTAAAAAAGGACCAAAATTGGAAACGTCCAACTGCTTCATTTTATGTAAGTATGGCATTAAGCATGTTGGGGGCTGTGATAAGTACAAATTACACCACGACACCAAGCGGGCGAAATGAAGCAATACACAACTATAACTACATACTAGGCAAGATTCGTATCTAGCAGATAGCAGACTGTTAATGATTGGTGTATAGAAATTGTGTTGAGGAATTCCTATGAACAATACCATAGATATACAGATTGAAGCTCTGCCAATTTGGTACTTTGTATGTAACTAAATGGAGTGCTTACCTTGTTGTGTTGAAGATACCGACGGTAAAGAGGTAGTAGAACTGGAATTTTGCTGTTTGCCCTGCTGTGACTCTTTGTTCTTCTTTCTTCTCTTCCTGACTGAACTGGTGCTGCTCCCGGGCCTTCCGGTTACGTCATGGCTCTCTCCAGTCGTTCCTGTGCTGCCCTCTCTGCCCGAATTCTTTCGGCGTCTGTCCATTGTTAAACCTGTACGGATAAATGTATATTAAGATAGCAATGTTTACCAAATGACACCTCTAACACTATATGTATATAGTTTGCTAAAGACAACCCACTGAGCCAACTAGTTATAGTAAGATCATAGATAGATTGTACTTGTATTTTTGCCACTTTAGCAGAAATGTTTCATGACCAATGTAGACGATGGCTGGCTCACATTGTTCTGCTTTTCGCTGATGTTCTGCTGCTTTCAGCTGATTCTCGATGTACCCCCCGAACTTCTCGTCCTTGATCAGATCCTTCTGGGACCCGAACGCTCGAATCCTTCCATTGTAGAGAGTTACCATCAATGCCTCCACACCAAGTTCGTCAAGCTCCTCGGACTAAAAGTAAAAACAATGCTCCAATTGCATTTATATGCTATGTGTTACTTTTGAAATGATCGTTCTTGGACGCAATTCTTCTATATTGTCCAAACATCAAGTAGTTATTAACTGCATCATTCTGTAGATATTTTGAATCCATTTTCCATGTACATATGTTGAGAAGTTACTGATATCAACAAATACTGCATTTACTAGGTGGAACCAACATTATAAATATCTGTAGAGGGGCCTCGATCAGGTCGATGCAATGGAATGGATCGTAAATATCTGTCAATTTGAGTCAAAGGATGTTTATGGTATTTTACATAGTATTCCTTCTTTTGAATGATTACTCTTAAACAATCCTTCAAGTGTCCAGGAACATGTTTGCATTCTTACACCCACCAGTTTTTCGAGCTGTTTCAGCTTTTTCCCCACTTCTGACGAAGTTTTGACTTTCGTCTCTTTGCCCCTTCTCCTCTCTGCTGCTTTGTTGTATCCCTCCTTTTCCTCGTCAGTCAGGTTCTTCCAGCTCTCGCCGATTTCCTTATTGGCACCGGCAAGGGAGAATCCTCGGTTGGCTGAAGGAAAGTGCAAGATGACAAAGTGTTAGATACCGTTTATGTAGTACAATACACGGTACTTCAGTGGATGTCCATAAAGTTGATGTTTTGAATACTTTTCGTACGCGATACTAACGCCGTATCTAAAATGACTGTACGATACAGTATGCTATGGTAACAAAATATATAGTAAGTTAAATATGTGAAATACGTTGGAGTGAACTTGGCAAACATTCGAGAGGAGAATGAAATGATTATCTGAACCTCGTTGATATAATAGTGACACATGAAGCATTATTATGTTTACCTTCGCAGGAGGAAAACATTGTTTTTGCTCTATTTCTTTTTCTTCTCCAAACACATAAGGTCAATGACATGAAACAAACGTCTGTCACCATGGTAACTAGTGCTGTAGCAGACACCATGTGGTGTTCGGTTACATTTTGTAGCAGGATTGGAGAGGATGGTCATTATATATACATATGCATTATATGTAGAGAGAGAGAGACCATGTGAAGGTAAACTTTATCTATTTGCCTTTACAAATGTTACCTTTCTATTTACTACAACTAAAGCTACAACTTCGAAATGATAATAGAATCATCGACTGAATCTTGCTATAATTGTCATAGTTAAACATGTTCGTAAACAATTATAACTGCCGTTTCAACTCACCCCTTTTCCTTGGCAGCTGTTCCCTGTAGTACTCGTGATATCCCGTGATCCTTCTCTTCCTCTCCATCGTGTCTGGCGGCGGTCTCCTCTTACTGCCGCCTTTACTCTTACGGTAGTTACCGATGAAGTTCTGAAAGGACAATAAATTGATTCATCTATTGTCTTGTACGTAGGTCAATTTTGTTGTACCAACGTATCTGTCTGCATGTCTACATGTAGATGACTACCTTACGAAAGTCGCTGCATTTTTTGTTGTCTATAAATTTCTCTATGAGACACGGTATAGTTGTCAAAGTTTAAGTCCAGGTATGGCGGAACAGGCACTATCACATCAATGAAAATAATATTTGACATGTTTGACCAGACCTGGTGATAACTCGATACAACCAAATCAGAGGATGACCCCTCCTATTCTCGACACTGGAACCTGACCTAAGATACTGTCAGACCCGGTATGGGACTGAGGATAGACGGTTTGTAAGGGGGGGGGTGCTACAGAAAAAGGGGTTGGACTAGATGTAAGATATCCTGTTGGATATTGCCACCGTTAGTAGATGGGGATTGGGGAAGAGGAGTTATGGAAATGTACAACAATTTTATTAACCACCCATAATTAATATCGACTATATAGTAGTCGACCTTAGAAAGCTATCTTGTCAATAGGGGTGTAAGACGTGTAATATGTTTGGAAATACCATGACTTGGTCAACTGTTTTCCCGCTCTCCTTAGCTGCTTCTTGTATCAACGGGTGATCCTTCCTCGCCTCGTTCATTCCTCTTTCTTCATAGAACCGGACGAGTACAGGATCGTATTCCTTCTTACGTGTGGAGACACCCTGTAACGCAAACAAGTGAAAGTTTGTTTGGTATGAAGGCGGTTCTACAAAGATTCTTTCTGACACACTTCTGATCATTGAAGTAGGCTGAAATTGGACATGTATATTATACATGTACATGTCTCTATAGATAGATCACATGCCTTCCAACTGCGCTCGTAGCTAAATGGTTGTACGCATTTCTGATGATAGTCATAATGCATATCTCCCCAGCCGGCCAAGCAGAATAAAACAATTCAAATACTACCATGCGTACCAGGGAAACTAAAAAAAAACTTTATATCATCTTCAACTTGTAGTTTGATAATAATTTAATATTATCAGCAGTTGTTTGTGAACCGAAATGTTTCACAAGAAATTTACAGTCATCTTAATCATATTCTTTACATGCTTTATGATTTTACATCACGCAAGTTTTGAAGCGACTCACATAATTTTGTTGTTGGAGAAGCTTCAGTATTTCCTTTCTACCACGAGTGATTTGTTCTTCCTCATCTTCGTCACCCGGATCAGCGTTACTGATGTCCTCATCTGCAGCGATGTCCTCCGCCGTTTCACCAACCTGGGAATAAACATGCTGTCAATTATATGCTCATGAATGTTGAAATATTGGAAATAAACACAACTGAATGAGTAGACAATGTGTATTAAGCATCCAAAACATATACAGTACACAGTATACAGTAGGTACAGCAGCAAAGCGCATGTCAAGAAAGAAATAGGTTTATGTTTATGTGATACGATGCAAGAAAATCACTGAACACATCGTGATTTCTGTGTTTATTCAAAAAACAGCTTCCTCATTGCCTCGGACAGTAATGTATGTATCTAAATGAATCATCGTATCATTTTTAAAAACGTCTTACTTTTATTCCAAAAGAAGTAAAGACAATATTGTATTTCTGGATTGGTTATTGGTTATTTACCAGAGAAGCCGAAGAACCGACTGACCTCGTTCCTGAGACCGGTATCAGCCCCGTGCTGCAGCAGTATTTCCGCACACTTGGGGTGGCCATACGTAGCTGCTTCATGGAGGGGGATGTTTTCCTGTTGGGGCATTGACAGTGCAATTTTTCATCCTTAGTATAATCAAATAGCAAATCACTTACTGACTCCAAGCTGGCTTGAAACCATTCCCTACCTTTGCCATTCATACTGGTTGTTTCTAATAATGGACAATAACGGTATCACTGTACATTAAATCCTGCTGACATTTTTTTGCACAATATTTTTCAATTTCGTGTGGATGTCTTAATCAGGTCATCGACCCCTGGCCTTTTTTGCCATGCGATGGCGTAGTTACTTCCGCATTCGTTGCGTTCCGCTGCGGTGTGATGCACTGCACGAAAATAGCCCCAAATTTTACATATACAGGGCACCATATGCATGAAAATGTATGTTCAACCGATACATTATGGCACCAAAAAATGTTTGATATATTCCGACAGTTGATAATATGCTGTATAGCCCCATGCGTTCCAATCCGTACCAGCTTCATGTTGGCAACAAGTTAAATTGTAGACAGCAAATAAACCGCTAAGTAAGAAGATGAGAAGATGAATGTCAAATCTTACAAGATGATACAGAAATATTTCTTGTATCACAGCGATCAGTCGACCTACCCGCTCGTTCCGTGCGTTCACATCTGCACCAGCTGTCAGTAAAACCGACACAGTTTCATGGTGGCCATTCCAGGCTGCCTGGTGCAGGGGAGAGGCTTGCTGTAAAATAGATCATATGGCCTTTAGCATGACAACAGGTCGGACAAATGTGCAGTTATTTTTTTGACAATTCTAACGGAATTGAGCAAGTAAACTGCTATACAACTGAACATAGATGTCAAAACCTATAAGAGACAAAAAAATGTTTCTGTGTCACAATAGTCAGTCTACCTACCCCATCGTCCCGTGCGTTCACATCTGCACCAGCTGTCAGTAAAACTGATACAGTTTCACGGTGACCATACAGGGCTGCCCGGTGAAGAGGAGTCCGTTGCTGTAAAACACAACATGGCGGGCTGAAGTAAACTAATAGAGGTAAAATTGGAGCTCCTTAAGCTACTGGTACAACTAAGGAAAACTCCAAGTACTGATTTGCCAAAAAGTTGGAAGTCGTTACCAGTGCGGCCTTGCCCTTTCCATCTATGTCTTTTATAAGCGGTTTGTCCCTCATGCTTCTTGATTTTCATTGCACAGCCTTAAATGTTTCATCATCATATATAAGCAAATTGACGAAAGACATAGCAACAAACCGAATTGCCATCAGCAGCATTGGGGTTGACTCCCCCCGCTAACAGCTGCTTCACTCTGTCCGTGTCTCCTTCCTCTGCAGCCTTCCGCAGCGCCTATAGCGGCGGCAGACAGGAACAGGAAAAACAACTGTCAACACTCAGCCAATCAGAACAACACTCGGCATGTGAGAAGATTCAACACCTATCCCTTCATTTATCCGTCATACTGATATTTCACTTCCTTTCATGTCTCTCAGTGTAAAGTTATGAAAAGACATATCATTTATCTCCTCTATTTGTACATAGCTCACATATGTTGGACATATTATGGAGTTGTTTATTTCAGACTTAACGGCCCTTAGTATACAGACACATAATATGGCAAAAACACATATGAAAAAAACATTCAAAGTATGTACAGATAAATGTAATAAAAGACTACCGAGCTGTCCTGTCGCAAGGAGGTTACCTTACGGTGGGCGGACCATCTACATCAGGCTAGAGAAAAAGTCCTGTTATAGATATACACCATCATATGCACTGTGGGGCTTGTCTGTGTATAACATCACTTCTCTTTGTCTAATGTTTTCTTTACTCTACCTTCTCGTCGTCCTTCTTTTTCTTCCAACTCGACTCTTCAGACCCGGACTCCTCTGACCCGGACTCCTTGTCTTCCTCCATTGTCTCCTGTTCTCTTCCGTCCATGCCTGGTCTGGACCCTACAGATAGATACACACACTACCTGCCTAGTGACACCTGTCGTAACTAAGACTAGATGGATCTAGTGCTTTCCTGTGGCGCAAACACAGACCAAAGATATATCATTTCTTTCCCTATGCAATATTTTGGTAGTGGAACAGACCGAGCATCGTGTACAGCGCGCTCAGGACATACCTGATTTACATTAATGGTCTCTAAATTCAAAACATTCAGCGTTTCTGAACACTGTAGATCAAACTGTACCAACAAAGGAGCGATAATTTCAAAGCCATACAGACATGGCGTCAATACTTTCTAATTAAGTCAACATGAACAGTTTATCTGTGTGCTAAAGGGCTGTGGTAAAAGTTTGTTTAGTTTTTGTACTTCAGGCCCTGCTATGGTATGATGCACCCGTTACTTCCGGGTTTACCTGAGTTTTTCCAGATGTGTCTTGTGAGAGATTGATAACCTTTTTTCCCGGTCTTTAAGATCTCTGTAAGATTCTCGGACTCTCCAGGAACTGAAGCCTCTAGGTTCTGACGTCACAAGACGTACAGGTGAGTTCTCACGGCGTCTTGAAGACAGAGCTGGTACGTCACGTCCGCAGGTGAGAAGGGTAGTTGACGGGTTTGATAGGATTCCCATGATTCATAGCGCACGCTATGACGTACTAGTATTCTGTAGTACCGGGGTGAATGACCTCAGGACGTTTTGCCGGTATACTGGCTGTGGTAAGTGTGGAACTTGTATAACTTAGATGATTTTTAACCTTATATAATATATCGTGTATATTTTAGATGACTCTTATCCTTATATATTGTGTATATCTTAGATGAATGTTACCCTTATTTATCGTGTATATCTTAGATGAATGTTAAACTTGTGTATATCTTAGAGCAACATAAATGCGTTGTAACTACATCGTATTTCAGCAGTATTTCAAGAACCTACAAAGTACGTTGTTGGTTTATTCACGTCGTATTTCAGCAACATACGTCGATTGCTAAAGCTATTTTATTTTAATTCAACAGTTTTCCCCTGTAACATTAGGATGTTCTTCATTATTTCTTGACACACCAAGCTAAAGCTATAGGATGCTTCACCCTAACCGGTGTTGTCTACCTCCTTGCGAGGCATTGTAGGTCTGTGAGTAATGCATAATTATGCTAAATACTACGAAACGTTCTTAAGACCGTCGTTTGTTTCTTGTTCCTTATTTGGCTGCATGATATCTAACGTTTATTGGATGGAGTTTAATACATATAAATGAAGAAATTCTGTAAAATAAGCCAGCTAAACTTGATATACAAGAAAGCTATGATAAACAATTGTGCCATATATCCCCTGTACAAAAATGGACTATTCCAAGTGACGTCAGGACACTAGTACTGAGATCGCCTAATCTCTGTTTTGAAGACAAGTTTCCGAGATCTGTGTGACGTGATTGCTGAGTTTGCAGCTGAGTTTGCAGCAGGTTTTTGTTGTGAACAGGACTCTTTGTAATTATAAGCCTTCAGCAGCTTTACGAAAGGACTGGATTCTTTTCAGCAAAGTTTTCTGCGCAAGTTGAGAAGTCGTGTTGGCAGCGTTCCGGCCTTTGAAATAGAAGGTGTCTTCAGAATACTCGAGCCTGAGATTGAGAAGACCTTGGCAGGGCGGCATTGCGATCCGTTTGCTGACGACACTTTTCCCGCTTCTGAGGGAAACTCGCGGCTTTTTTTCGGGAGCGAAGATTTGATTCGGCAGCCCCGCGCGTGGAATCTGCGGTTTGGAATCGTGCCAGCCGGCCGGTTAGCGGGCCGTGTGTGGGTAGTTGACGGGGCCGGGTGCGTTCGGAGACCGAGAGAGCGACTTGAGTGGGCCCGTGTGGGATGAAGAGGATAACGGGGTCTGTGTGCGGGTGTACCGGGGCCTGGCTGGCTGTGCTGGCGGCGGTTTGGGCGGTGTGTCGCGCGGAGGAAGGTGAGACAGTACCGTGTGTGTGTGTATGAATGTGTGTGTTATAAGCGGTACACGCAAATCTTAATGTTTATGTGCTGAAATTCAAGTGGAGTGGGGGCCTGTGTTTCTCGTGACACTGTTTTGAATGAAACGCTGCCACAGATTCTGAAGTGGTTTTAGTGTAACTCAATATTACAATTTACAGTACATTATCGATGACATGATAAAAGTCATCTAGAAAACGAAACCGACTAAACGAAGCGCCTCCATCTTGGATGACCGAACCAGAAACTATTTTCTGTCTTGCCGAGATACAGATCTGTCATTTTCTCGTTGATTGTTCACATGTTAACCCTAAACAGTACACCTGGGGTCCGCGCGGACCCCAGCACTATATATTCTGTAATATCTTTTTTGTTTCTAAAGATTTTTTTCTGAAATTTTAGGTAATTGTCACCCACAAAGTTGTCTCTCAATACAGTGCAGAAAACTCCGTTTCTACCGTTTATAAAAAAAATTATATCTGATTTTCTTTTGGGGTCTGCGCGGACCCCAGCCGGCTTTCGATCATAATGGATACACTGGCGTTCTTATACATTACCTTATTTCCGTTTTTATATGTTTTTATGCACTCATCGTATGTCAAGTTTTCAGAGAATGGTGTAGTAATAGAATTAAATTTTAATAACTTTGGTGTAATAATGACGTCATATGACGTCAGAGCTAATAATATAGTCCGCCATATTGGATTTTGACCAATGACGTCATCAAATTAGCATATTCTATGCATATTAGAATATGCATATTAAATGATTTAACTTATATTTAATTATGTAAGATGTTATTAATGTTCGAAAAGAAGTGTAATTTAATATAAAACTCAGAAAATTTTAATGTTTAAACCAAAATTACTTCTATTTTCAAAAAAACTGCCTGCTAGAAACCCGTTGCCATGGCAACACAAAAAAACATCAACTTACTAGTATTACACTGATATGAACTTTTTTCTAGAGACATTTTAGGAAAGGTCTCCAAATTTTGATACTTCTAGCGCAAACCGTTTAGCCGCTATCTGAGATCAAAGTTGGGCCTCAAAACCCCCTTCAATCTGAAATGGGTTTAAAAATCGGGTATTTCTTCTTGTCTTCTTTTCTTCACCAAAAAATAGAAAAAGTTCAAAATGTATGATTTTTGTATGTAATGTGGACACAGCGGTCCCCACATCAGTTTGCAAAACAATTGAGCTGGTAGCATGTTGATAATTTCTAAATATTAGAAAAAAAAACTGTTCTGGGGTCCGCGCGGACCCCAGGTGTACAGATTAATCAGTCCGGGAAGGTGTACTGTTGAGGGTTAAAGGTGTGTGGTCCTCACCTGTTCAACTCAAGTAACAACAAGCGATAACCCGGTGGAGATGTTTGGCCGATCACATGAAAAATGCTTAATAATATATATCCAATGTGTATTCAAGAACATTGATTTGGCCGAGGCAAGGTTCTAGATATGGACTATCCAGAACCGTGCCTGAGCATTAGCCGTCCATACTGTGTGTACAACAGATTGTTTTGCTGTTTTTGACTTTACATGTATTGTAATAATATCTGGCGTCTCACGGACCAGGTAGACCTTGTTTGATACTCAGTCAAATATGATACGCGAGAAGGGATTCAAGGGAACGCTACATCGGAGAACATCCTGATTGTAAATTTTTGTTTCAACCAGAATCAAGTCAAGAACATGACCATATTTTGCCAGGCAAGTTGCACTTTTGTTTTTAACACCTACACGGTGAAAGCGAGAACTATTTGGTTGTGCAAGAGTTCCAATATAAGGTAGTGTTTTTTTTTTTTTGTCTTCTTTACAAAGTCACATTATTGTGAATGTCAATAAGTAAAAGAGAGGGAAGCTATTGATGAAGAAAAGTTCTCTGCAATATATAGTCGATACTTTACTTGTGTGGAGCTAAGATATATAAAAGGGAAATAAGGACAGACAACATATCCAATATCATTTGTAAAACCATTATTTTCTTAAGCTTGAAAAACAACAGAAAGCCGTAAAAATCACATTGGGAATGCTTGGAACACTAATTATCTATGGCTGAATTTACAACAAAGTTCTTCTGAAGTTATAACTCATTTACAAACTACTCATTTGCAAATTATATTAGAAAGGACTTCCATGACTGAAACAAATTTTACACCAACAGGTAAAGCTAAGGGTACCCCTTTAATTTTCAAAATACCAGCAGGCAAACAGAAGAACACATGCATACTCTATTACATCTACATCTAACAAATGCTAATAACTTAATCACAATATTAAGGATACAAAACAGTACTTGTAAGTAATAAACAATATTCAAGTTATAACAGAGTATAAACTTACTGATGTTCCCACACTTAAAACGTGTACAATAGATTCTTTCCCATCTTCTAAATTTCCTTCAAAGTATTGTAAATATTACATCAACATCTAACACATGCTAAACTTAATCAATCACAATATCTAGGATACAAATCAGTACTTATAGTAATTAAAAACGTGTACATTAGATTCTTTCTCATCTTTAAAATTTTCTTTCAAAGTACTGTAAATATCTTCATTCATAATTACTTGACATGCTTATATGTACATTGAATGACTTTCCATCAAATACAGGTTTATATACAGAATTAAATTTACACGAAATTGAAAATTACGCCTTTTTTGGTCATTTCAAGTTCCTATTGATATCACACTCCATGTACAAGCGTAATCCACAACCAACTGGCCACGTCGTCCTAAATAATTGCAGCGTACATGATCAGGCCTGTATAGAGACAATAGACAGACATTGTCATTGTAAATGAGTACATCTTTGAAATGGTACATGGCAACTAATAGATGAGGCCACTGTCAGTCACTACTTTGCTTTTGAACCGCACTGATTGCATTAAAAGTCTGTTGATCAAATTCAACAATTAGCGAATCTGACACGTGGGAGAGTGGACGCGTCTAGAGTCAGTCAGTCAAGCCACAGACCCGCAGCAGGTTTTGGTGCGATTCTTCCCAGTACTTGGACTCCAACAGCCTCTTCTTGTACTCTGCTGCTTTGTCGAATTCTGACTCAGAGTATTCCAAGGTGTCTGCAATCCTCTTTGCCCACTCTCTTGCATCTTCACCCAGGTCGCACTCCCTCACGCTGGTTTTCACGATCCTGTGCCTCATTTCTGCAGGGAATTTCTTCTCCTTGATCAAGTCCTTGATCATGTCTGCCAGCCCTGACTTGTCAGAGATGAGTACAGGGATGCCTGCTGCGATGGCCTCCAGACCGGTCAGTCCGAACGGCTCGGCACGGGACGGCATCAGGACCAGGTGGGCCTGCTGCATGTCCTTAGCGATGTCCTCCTGGTTTCCACACGGCAGTAGGGTAGGTTTGATCTTACCACTGTGCAGGTTCTCCTCCAAGATTCTCTTGCTCGCATCCCAGTCATCTTCATCTATCCCACGAACACACAATCTGACGTTTGTGATCTTCTCTGTAACCTCCCCCAACGCCCGTGCTACCAGGTCATGGCCCTTCAGCTTGTCCACTTCGGTCACTCTCCCGACAGACAGCACGACTTTCTCTCCTCCTCCTGGTCTAACAGAGATGGCTTCAAACACTGGGGATGGTCTTGGAAGAAACAAGAAGTGATGTCTTGGTTTGCTATCTTCAAGTGCCATATACTTCGTCTCGAAGTAATTGTAGATTCTTCTTCCCAAGGAGAAGACGGCATCTGCATTTTTGGCATCCTCAAGGATGTCTTCCATCCTCGTCCCCGCGGCCATCGCCTTCTTAGTTCCCTTGTAGTACGCCGTGTCTTCTGGCATGTCGTGGTTGAAAAGGACCAATTTTGCGTTTTGACAGCGGCTCTCTTGTATGCTCTTTGCAGCTCCACTTGTGACATCTACATGGCCCACAATGCACTTCAGATCCTGTGGTATGTCTGGGTAATGATTGTTGTGCTCAAATGTTAACCATTCCAAACATGGCATCCTCTTGTCCCTGGGATTTTTGACAGGTAGATGCAGAAAGACACCATCCTCTGTGGCACACCTCTTGTCTTCTTCAGATGCTTGCACAGCCGCAGCATGAACTGTAGCACCATGGAGTTTCAGAAACTGCGTCACCTGACGATTCGTGGTAGAAGTACCTCCATGGGACGTGCCGTACGTATCGTTGACCATCAGAACAGACATGGCCTCTGCAATTCAAAAACAATGGATGCAATGTCGAGTTATGACGGGTAAAATGCAGGGCGCCATGAAACGATACTTGCTTGAATGTACTATTGATCAAAGATCACTATTGCTTCAAAGGTTTCTCTCATTAGCTGAAAACCTAGTTGGGTTACCCAATCGTATGAATGCAATTATTGAATGAATAATTCTTGAAAAAATAATATTTCCGGACAAAACATTCTCTGCACATGTTTATTTTTACATTATGTATGACTTCATCCATACCTATCTTAGGTCGCTTTCCCCGGGCGCCACTGTCGCTGGACTCGCCAACATGCCGAGTTTTGGCTTTCCTCTTTCCACCTGCAATTAATATAAGATTGTTAAGCAATATAGGTCATGTAATGTTATCCATATGATTCCCTTTTCTTCTATAATGTGCATTTCTAACTTGTGAAAACATCTTTTCTTCCTCCAGTTTTAGTGTCTGTTGACTTTGCGTCGGCGTCTCGTCCTTTGGTGGTTTCTTCTGCTGCGTCCGTTTCCTTGTCATGTTTTGTGCTTGTGAGTTTTATATGAACACGTGCAAATCAGTGAGATATCACTGTCCCTTCGTCTTTTTGTGTATGTTTCTAGAGACAAAACCTTAGCAATACGTAACGATATAGAGGCGCCAGTTCTCTTGTTCTGTGCAAACATTTTAGATTAATCAATAAAACTTAATGCTTTTGAATTTTTTTTTGTCATAAAGTGTTTAACTGTCGTTGTCCTGCCATGGTTTCCTTGAATTCGTCTGGCTCCTCTGTAAGCAATAGATGCCATGCTCCGTATGATTCTTTGTTACAGCTGAGACCCGTATGGTAATTTCATCTTAAACCAACATTCATGTTGTTGTTTTGTGATATGCTGTTTTTTTTTAGATCCAAAATGACCATGCATCATCGCATGACAAGTACTTAGCTGTCTGAGTAGCAAGATTTATAATGTCCTGCCAGGTGATAGATATTAACATGTTTTTCGGACCTTTTGCCTTCCGCCAAGTCTTGGTCATCACGCTGGGTGGAATCTCGATTCCGTCAGTTAGATAGATAGAATGTCTGAATGATCTACTGAGTTAAGTATTTGTATTTCACAGCTAAAATAGTTATATGTTATAAATTACCCTTTTTTGTCGAAATCCCTAAGTCTTCACGATGTCCCGTGACGTTCTCAGCCCCCATGTCGTCTGTGGGGAGGCTCCGCTTACTGCCGCTCTTAAACCTACGAGAGTTGCCGATGAAGGTCTGAAAAATCATTGAAAATCATTGCAAACAAGAGTTCCACGGCCTCATACCTTTGCCAAATGATGTTAACCCTTGCGGTTGACGAATTTTACAATTTTAATCGATTCTGTAAATAAGAGCCTCATTTGCATGGATTATATTAGTTGATCCTATTCTCCACCCAATGACAGACTTATCTTAACAAAAAGGCTATTATAAAAACTCCCTCATAAATTATGCAAATGAGGTCATGATTTGAATAAATTATGTTTATTGATGTTCACCTTTTTTCACATGCAATTTCAAATGTGGCAAGTATGAAATTCCCAGCAGTTACAACTATGAAATTATAAAAATTTGTCATTAATTATGCAAATTAGGTCCTCTTTTGCATAATATATATATATATATATCCTCAGGTGTTTTTTTTCTCGTTTTCAAGTAGATCTCACAAGTGTTTCATAGTTCTATTATCGAACAATGCAGATTTATGTAATTCCCTCATTGATTATGCAATTCAGCTCTGGATTATGTGAAGCATCACTTCAACTACCTACTTACCAAAAATCACGACAATCCGGAAACCGGTTTTAGAGTTATCCTCCTTCGAAAATTTGTCAACAAATGCTCCTGTAGTTCCAGAACAAGTAGCTATATATAGGGCACCCAAACTCATGTCACTTCTTCCCTATCCCAAGAGCTATCTGCCATCTAAAATTTGTGACCCTATCATGTCCAGATCACGAGATATAAAAACCGGAAGTTCTGCTGAAGTACCTAGGAAAGCCGCCAGGGAGACCAAAATCTAATCATTTCTAGGTCTCATGAAGACCTACCCACCTACCAAGTTTCATTCCAATCCATACACTGCGTCTCGAGTTATCTTGCTAAACCACACACAATCAAACAGACAAACCTTTCTAAAAACATAACCTTCTTAGCGAAGGTAATAACATTACTGTTACCCCGGATGATACAACGAAACGATGAATCACAATTAATTTGAGGCACTGAGTACGATTTTATAAGGCTCTTGCTACAGAAAATAACGCACGAGTTACACCAACAACACCAGGTAAAGCTCCTCATCTCTATCATCACAAAACGATTTAGTAAGATACATCTGATTAAGCTCAAGAGATCAATCAATCATTACAAAGACACACCTTCACTTGGTCTACAGTTTTCCCGCTCTGCTTAGCTGCTTCTTCTATCAACGGACAATCCTTCTTCACCTCGGTCATTCCTCTTTCATCATAGAACCGGACGAGTACAGGATCGTAGCCTTTCTTACGCGTGGAGACTTCCTGCAAACATGTACACGTGAAAGTTAGTTTTCTTTGGTATGAGGGCGGTTCTACAATTCTTTCTGAAACACTTCTAGTCATTGCAGTATGTTAAAATTAGACATGTACATTTATACATATACATATCTCTATGGATAGATCACATGCCTTTCAACTGCGCTTGTAGCTAAATGGTTCTTCGCAATTCTTATGATAGTCATAAAATGCATCTCTGTCCTAACTGCCAAGCAGAATACAAAAATTCAAATACTAGCATGCGTACCAGGGGAACTAAAAAAAGAACCTTATATCATCTTCAACTTGTAGTTTGATATTATCAGCAGATGTTTGTGAACCGATGTGTTTGACAAGAAATTTACTTTGTGATTTTGCATTACGTAAGTTTTGAAGCGACTCACATTATCCTGTTGTCGGAGAAGCTTCAGTATTTCCTTTCTACCACGAGTGATTCGGTCAGCGTAACGTGTGTCCTCATCTGCAGCGATGTCCTCCGCCGTTTGACCATGCTGGGAATGAACATGCAGTGAATTATAGCCTTATGAATTTTGAAATATTTGAAATACACACGACTGAATGAGTAGACAATATGTATTATGTATCTAAAACATAATATATATAGTACACAGTATACAGTAGGTACAGCAGCAAAACCCCTGTCTAAAAAGACATTGGTTTGTAGGTGTTTATGTGATACGATGCAGGAATATCAGAACACATCGTGATTTGTGTGTTTATTCCAACAACAGCTTCCTCCTTGCCTCAGCAGTAATGTATATAATTAAGTGGATTATCATTTAAAAAAAAAAGCCTTACTTTTGATTTTCCTTCCAAAAGAAGTAAAGCCAATATTGTATTGCTGGATTGGTGGTCAGTTATTTACCAAAGAAGCCGAAGAATTGACTGACCTCGTTCCTGAGACCGGCATCAGCCCCGTGCTGCAGCAGTATTTCCGCACACTTGGGGCGGCCCCGTGTAGCTGCGTTATGGAGGGGTGTGTCTTCCTGTTGGGGAATTCACAGTGTAATTTTTCATCCTTAGCATGATCAAATAGCAACCCCTTATAAATGTATATATTTACATCACTCACTGACTCCAAGCTCGCTTGAAACCATTCCCTACCTTTGTCATTCACACTGGTTGTTTCTAATAATTGACAATCACGGTAACATTGCAACTTAGATCCTGCTGACATTTTTTGCACAATATTTTTCAATTTAGTGTCTTAATCAGGTCATCGACCCCTGGCCTTTTTTGCCATGCGATGGCGTAGTTACCAGTACTTCCGCATTCGTTGCGTTTTGCTGCGGTGTCATGCGTTGCACGAAAATAGCCCCACATTGTACATATACGAGTGCACCATATGCATAATAATGTATGTGCAACCCATGCTTTATGACACAAAAAATGTATGATGTATTCCGACAGTTGATAATATGCTGTATAGCCCCATGCGTTCTAATCCATACCAGCTTCATGTTGGCAACAAGTTTAAATTGTAGACAGCAAATAAACCACTAAGTAAGAAGATTGAGAAGATGAATGTCAAATCTTACAAGATGATACAGAAATATTTCTTGTGTCACATCGATCAGTCTACCTACCCACTTGTTCCGTGCGTTCACATCTGCACCAGATGCCAGTAAAACTGATACAATTTCATGGTGACCATTATTGGCTGCCCAGTGCAGGGGAGAGTCTTGCTGTAACATACATCAGATGGCCTTCAGCATGACGTTAGGTCGGACAAATGTGCAGTTATTTTGTTAACAATTCTAACAGAATTCAGCAAGTAAACCGTTATGTAAAAGATGAATATCAAATCTTATAAGACATAAAAATGTTTCGGAAATAAAGTAGTCAGTCCACCAGAGTTATCGTTCCGTGCACATCTGCACCAGAACAGACAAAAGTGCCCCATGAAATGTTGGTAACAGTGTTTTTGTTTGTGATATTTTAAACAGCAAATGTCAAATCTTACAAACTGGCACAAAGATATTTCTTGTATCACAGCAATCAGTGTACCAACCACCATGTTCTGTGCGTTCACATCTGCACCAGCTGTCAGTAAAACTGACACAGTTCCCGTTGCACGGGGCAAAATACATTTGTCGGGCGTCGCGGCGCAAGCTGTACGACACATTTTTATGCGTGTAAACAAAAAGAAGGAGGCAGATTCGGGCTAAAAACATGCAAAAGGAAGGGTAGAACGAAAACAAGTCCATAAAATTAAGTACTTCTAACGAAGAAACAAGGACTCAAAGAACCGGAGCGGCAGGGTCAGGGTTCATGTGACGCAGCGCGACGCAGCCTGCCACACCCGCCGCAGCAGCGGCACGCAGCGGGAGCCACAGTCCCTGTGTGTAAACCGAAAAGTCTCCTAGGCGATTTGACGCCCGACAGATTTATTTTGCCCAGTGTAAACCGGGCCACATTACAGGCTGCCTGGTGCAGGGTAGAGTATTGCTGTAAAACACATCAGATGGTCTTCAGCACGACAACAGGACAAACAAAAGTGCACTTGTGTTGGTAACAGTTCTAAGGGTAGTCAGTACTTAAATTACTATGTAGAAGATGAATGTTAAATCTTACAAAATATTTCTTGTAGCACAATAGTTAGTCTACCTACCCCATTGTCCCGTGCGTTCACATCTGCACCAGCTGTCAGTAAAACTGATACAGTTTCATGGTGACCACTCCAGGCTGCCCAGTGAAGGGGAGACTCTTGCTGTAAAACACATCAAATGGCTTTCAGCATGACGACAGGTCGGACAAATGTGCAGTTATTTTGTTGACAATTCTAACAGAATTCAGCAAGTAAACCGTTATGTAAAAGATGAATATCAAATCTTATAAGACATGAAAATGTTTCGGATATAAAGTAGTCAGTCCACCTCCGTTATCGTTCCGTGCGTTCACATCTGCACCAGAACAGACAAAAGTGCCCCATGAAATCTTGGTAACAGTGTTTGTGTTTGTGATATTTTAAACAGCAAATGTCAAATCTTACAAAATGGCACAAAGATATTTCTTGTATCACAGCAATCAGTGTACCAACCACCATGTTCTGTGGGTCCACATCTGCACCAGCCGTCAGTAAAACTGACACAGGTCCCGTTGCACTGGGCAAAATAGATTTGTCGGGGGTCGCGGCGCAAGCTGTACGACACATTTTTATGCGCCATGTAGAAAGAAGGAGGCATTCGGGCAGATTCGGGCTAAAAGCATGCGAAAGGAACGGTACAACGAAAACAAGTCCATAAAATTAGAACTTCTAACGAAGAAACAAGGACTCAAACATCCGGAGCAGCAGGGTCAGGGTTCATGTGACGCAGCCCGCCGCAGCAGCGGCACGCAGCGGGAGCCACAGTCCTTGTGTGTAAACTGAAAAGTCTCCTAGGCGATTTGGAGCGCGCCGCCCGTTTTGACAGACAGATTTATTTTGCCCAGTGTAAACCGGGCCACATTACAGGCTGCCTGGTGCAGGGGAGAGTCTTGCTGTAAAACACATCAGATGGTCTTCAGCACGACAACAGGACGAACAAAAGTGCACTTATGTTGGTAACAGTTCTAAGGGTAGTCAGCACTTATATTGCTATGTAGAAGATAAATGTTAAATCTTACAAAATATTTCTTGTAGCACAATAGTTAGTCTACCTACCCACTTGTCCCGTGCCTTGACATCTGCACCAGCAGTCAGTAAAACTGATACAGTTTCATGGTGACCATTCTTGGCTGCCTGGTGCAGAGGAGTTCTTTGCTGTAAAACACATCATGGCGGGCTGAAGTAAACTAGTAGAAGTAAACTTGGAGCTGCTGAAGCTACTGGTACAAATGTGGAAAATTCCAAATATTGCTTTGTTTTGTGAAAGGTTACGGATATGTTACAGACAAGCTGAAAGCTGAAGACGGATGTAGCGACCAGAGCGGCCTTGCCCTTCCCATCTGTTCCTTTTATAAGCGGTTTGCCCCTCCTGCCTCTTGATTTTCATTGCACAGCCTTAAATGCTTTATCACCATATATAAGCAAAATGACGAAAGACATGGCATCATACCAAAGAGCCACCAGCAGCATTAGGGTTGACTCCCTCCGCTAACAGCTGCTTCACTCTGTCCGTGTCTCCTTCCCCTGCAGCCTTCCACATCGCCTACAGCGGCGGCAGACAGGAACAGGAGAAACAACTGTCAACACTCAGTCAATCAGAACAACACTCATCAAGATTCAACACCTATCCCTTCATTTATCCGTCATACTGATATTTCACTTCCTTTCATGTCTCTCAGTGCAAAGTTATAAAAAGATATATCATTTATCTCCTGTATTTGTGCATAGCTCACATATGTTTATTGTTTATTTCAGACTCAACGGCCCATAGTATACAGACACATAACATGGCACAAACGTACACATCTGAAAACAAACATCAAAGTATCTACAGATAAATGTAAAAAAAAGACTACCGCGCCGTCCTGTCGCAAGGAGGCCACCTTACGGGCGGATCAATCTATATCAGGCTCGAGGAAAAAGCCTGTTTATATGCAATATGGGGCCTGTCTGTGTGTAACATTAGTTCTCTTTTTAAAATGTTTTCTGTACTTAACCTTCTCGTCTTTATCCTCGTCCTCGCCCTCTTCATGATCAGACCAGGAATCCTCTGACCCCGACTCTTCAGACCCGGAATCCTCTGACCCGGACTCTTCGTCTTCCTCCACTGTCTCCTGTTCTCTTCCGTCCATGCCTGGTCTGACCCTACAGATAGACACACCACCTGGCTAGTGACACTGTCGTAACTAAGACTAGATGGATCTAGTGCTTTCCTGTAGCGCAAACACAGGCCCCACAAATATATCATTTCTCTCCATAAACAATATTATGGTAGTGGAACAGACCGAGCATCATGTACAGCGCGCTCAGGACATGTCTGAAGTTTACAACATCATGGCCTCTAAAGCGTTACCGAACACTGTAGATCAAACTGTACCAACAAAGGGACGATAATTTCACAGCCGTACAGACATAGCGTCAATACTTTCTAATTCATTCAACATGAACAGTTTATCTGTGTGCTTAAGGGCTGTGGTAAAAGTTTCTTTAGTTTGTGTACTTCAAGCGCCGCTACATCTGGCAGGTGCAAAGTTATACACCTGTTACTTCCGGGTTTACCTGAACTTTTCCAGAAGTGTCTTGGGAGCGTCTGACGAACTTTTCCCAGTCGTTAAGGTCTCTGCAAGGCTCTTAGACTCCCCAGGAACCGAAAGCTGTTAGATCTGACGTCACAAGACGTACAGGTGAGTTCTCACGGCGTCTTGAAGACAGAGCAGGTCCGTTACGTCCGCAGGTGAGAAGGGTTGTTGACGGGTTTGGTAGGGTTTCCCATGATTCATAGCGCACGCGATGACGTACTCTATAGTAACGGGGTGAATGACCTCAGGATGATTTGCCGGTATACTGGCTGTGGTTAGTGTGGGACGGGTATATCTTAGATCAATGTTAACCTTATATAATATATCGTGTATATCGTAGATAAATGTTAACCTTATATATCGTGTATATCTTATATGTTTCTTATACTTATATATCGTGTATATCTTCCCCAAGTAATTTAGCACAAAGCTTTTTACAATACATTTATTCATTTTTTTATTTCAGGTAAAAACCCATATAACACATGTACAATACATCATTAAAATAGTACAAAAACTCTACAGACATACAAATAAAACAGGAAGAAACCTAAAAGCATAATAAATGGTAGGTCTTCCGAAAGAATGAATTCCTGTAAAAGGCATCGGAATTTATTAAGCGACTGATTGTTGCGTTGTTGGAGGAAAATAATCTTTTTATAAAAGAATAACAAATCCTCCTCCGCCTGGTTTCAAATGTGTCAATATAGTGACAGACAAACACTTCACTCGCACTACATCGCCGAGGTAAAGTCATAATAATTCTAAAACAATTGTTATAAGCCACTCGGCACTTCGACAGAACACCTGACAATACATGACTATACCACTGAATTCAACCATTGCCACTTTTTGAACATGATAATGAATGAAGACCTTTATTGTACATGTTTGCCCCATTGGGCTATGCACAGGTCACATGTTAAGAAACTCTGTAGTAGGTGTAAATATTAACAAGTACTTTCGACTTCCTCTCGGGTATTATTATATGATTTGGAAGTTATGTATTTTAGACTGAGCAACAACACTGTGCAGTGGTTAGGATTCAATCATTGATCGTGTGCTAGCGTGTGTTTGCACAAGCTCTCTCGTTAATTGAATGAATGAAGACCTTTATTGAACATTTCTGCCACACTTGGCTAAGTACAGATCACAACAAAACAAGATGAATGGACACGGTTAACATATACAAAATTAACTAACTATCGTGATATAAATTCAACCTCTCGCTTTTTGGTTATTGTAGAGATAAATGTACAGATCTGTTTTTCGATGGGTGGTTTGTCTAGTCGCATAAGGAATATGATTTTTTCTACAGTACTTAAGTGCGTGAAATAGGGGAATAGGTGTTGTACATATAGAATACAACACGCGGTATTCCGTATCGCCCGAGGTATCGGTCCGACCGCGGGTCGGATCGCCCGCAGGCCGGAGGGCGATCCGACTCGCGGGAGGGCCGGGACCGAGGGCGATGCGGAATACACCGTGTTGTATTTTATTTATGTCATACCCACCCAAGAAAACACGCCTTTCAATAAAAGATGAGCCAAAAGTTGGTGCCACTGAACCCTAAAATGCAACAACATCAATTCCAACGTCCAGATTCTGTATTCGAATTTTCGAAAGGGGCACACGCGGTTAGGGCGAAACGCGTTCGAATCGTTTTATGGACGCCATGGAAGCGTTCGATAACCGGTTCCGGACCGGGCCGTACCGTAAAGTACGGCCCGGTCTGGAACCCGTTATCGAACGTTATCGCGGCCCGGGTATGATATAAACATATACAGTTCATTTCTCTCTTTGCTATACAGTTCACATTCTGTTACAAAATGGCTAATGACCCCTATACCCCTTGGGGGCGGCAACATTCGAGGCGGGTGGGCGGCCGCCATGAGCGCGGTTAGTCAGGCTAATCATGTGCTAATGAACAACTAATAGACCTCATTCCAGATACAGTCGCCATATTCCGTGATTCTATTCTCGCGAGAGCACATCCCTGGCACGAAAGCGAAGCCCCCGTGGGGTCGCGGATTCCCTGTAGTACTGGCGTTCCCCACACAGGGCAAAGACCTGTATTAAATGGACTGTCCCATTGAAATGTATGGAAAACATGTAAGAAAGAAGGTGTGAAAAGTCACCTGCCTGAGTGAAACTGCATCAAAAGCACACATTCATAGGGTCACTCGGCCTCTAAAACTGTCCATTTTGTTGATATAAAAAAATCCTATACTGCTAAAGGCATTTAAACGCTAGCACAAACTTTCAGAAGTGACCTCTGACCTCTATCACCAGCTGATGATAGCGTGGAAACTCAGGACTTCTTTTCTGGCCTGGACACACCAAACATGACACAAACTCCTTTTTTTTTTTACATAATCAAATGCAAATAACCCTTACCTATAACATCCAGTTCCAAAAAAGCAACAGATCCCAACATTAAGAAATTTTACACTGTTTTTGTACATGCAAAAATCGTACACACTTGGGGCCCTATGGGCATGCGCGTAATCCTGGCATTTGCCCCACAGTCGATGGCGATGCTCCAACGATCTCCAACTTCAACGCTGAGTTTTGCCCGTCCAGTGTAAAATATTTTTTTTTGTGAAATAGAACGAATCTAAACATTGAGTTGCCGGGCGTGATGCAAACAAAACAAACCTCATACAATAGCCAATTAGAAACTACTGTAACCACAAGCCTAAAGATATTTAAACATCATAACGGCATCTTGATATTCGTTCCAAAAGGCGATGTTTTTTTTCCGATGCCCCCCTCCCCATTTGGTCGACATACATTTCCCTCTTTTGTGTGCAGAACCAAAACACGGTGAACACACGAAAAAAAACTGCCTGAACAAAACGGAAGTAAAGTTAAACAATTTTACTCAACTAGATTGCGCCCCCCCCCCGTTACCTAATATATGTTCCAATCATGATGGTCATGAAAACTTCACCTTGTAAACTTTACAGTACAGTAGCGACACCTGGCGAAATAGAGCTGAAGTGTGTGAGATTTTGCTTTACGGAAAATGGCCGTTTTTGGCGGCGCCTCAGGAATTTTTACGAATGCATTTTTAAAGTGGCATCACTTAGATTTTTAAAATTTTTTAAAATCATTTTCTGAGTAAATTTTTTGGCTGAAATAATGTATTTTTAACCGTTCTATGCGGCATTTCTTTGCCTGCGGTCAGTTCAGGGGTCCCTGGGGAGATCTGTAAAGCGCAGCTGCCTCGCCAGGTGGCACCTGTCCAACAACAGCTGCAGGGTCACCTGATTCATGCCATGACGTCACAACGCCTTTATCTGACTACAGCACACTACCGCTGCGAAAGTGGGCATGTAAAATGGTTTACCGGCACATTTAAGCTGCGTGTGGTGAATTTAGGGACTTAAGAGAGGTGATTTGAAGCATGTATTTAAAATATTTTGGAAGGCTGCTGTGCTGTATACTGTTGCCTCACAGAAATGGAATCTGGCACCTGTGTCAGGTCAGCTGCAGGAAGGCTACCACCAGCTGAACCAGACAATAATTACTGTCCTATATATACAGGTGTGACTCCAGGTACAGTCGTGTTCGCTTCGGCAACACATATACTAAAATTGGAACGATACAGAGAAGATTAGCATGGCCCCTGCGCAAAGGATGGGGCGCAATCTTCTCTGTCCCTGCGATCACGCGAAAACGAAAAAATGAGACGGAAAGAAACGTAAGAACTTGTAGAGTACCACAAAATATGACGAAATTCGTTATTTGGGCCAAAAATCTTGACCCTATCTGAGCGAAATCTGACATTTGTCGGTTTTTGTATTGAAGCCACATATTCACGTAAAACCTGGTGTATTTCGTCTGGAACAACCAGAAGACATCGAATCCAAGTCAAAAGTATAATTTCTGTACAATTTGACGTACTTTTGCCAACTTTTAGAAAGTTTGCAAACTGCAGTACCGAGGTCACCGTAGGTGTCGCTTTTGGCAGTTCAAGGGGAAGTGACTCCTAACGGATTATTGGGTACTGCATGTACATTAATGAGTGTAGGGATTCTCATTACTAATTATATTATCCTCGGGGCCTTTATAGCCTTCGGCTAGTTGACCAGTCCTGCCTGCCTGTATATACAGTCTAATAAATCACTTTTATTATATTCTTATTGTGAATGTTTGTTTCTTGTCTATCACTAATTAAAATTAAATGAACCATTAAACAAGATAAGCCAAGTGTAAAATCTGATGACATTTTATTCACTTTGTTGAACAGTTGGTAAGAAAATTGAAAGCAAAGTTATTTCTACCCAGCCAAAGTGTTTTTCTTGCCGTTTTAACATGCTATAAAATACCATCACAAGGACAGAATGAATGCTCTTACTACATGTCACTTTTGGTGGCAAAACAACAAGACTGTGGCCCCAAATGTCACTGAGTATGTAGGTGTAGAGGGCAAGAGTGTGGAAAAATAGTAGCAGGAGACTGAAATAAGAACTAGAAAGGCCGACATTTGCTTTGGAGCAAATACAGCAATGGCTTCACCACATTTTACGACATGGCAGGGAAAGAATGAGAAACACAAGGGAAAACAATGCTTTACATTGATATAACTATAGTATGAAGTAACATACAACTAAGACTACAACAGTTGGATAGCTATTCCCTACATTATTGGTTAGGATTTTTAATTGCATAATGCAAACTGTTGATTTTCAAGAAAAAAGAAGCGTTCATGCCCCGCATTCCAATGCTGGAGCAGGAAAGCTTAAAATACCTACCAAAACACTTGAATACAGACCTACTGTCAGTATGGAATGGCTCTGTGCAGGTATTAATTAAGTTAAGCCTGTTAAATTCCAACAGCCAATCAGCAAGGAGAATAGAGGAAAGCTGCATGCCTATTGGTTGATGCCCTGCATTCCATTGTGATGACTCATGCCCAAATGTGGTAACACTGCACACTAACTCAGTAATACATTTGCTATAACACAGCCAAAAAACTCAAATAAAACCATTCTAAAAGCCTGTATCACAAAAATTAAAAAACGCCTGGGGGTATTTGCCTACTGTACCTCCATACCAAATTTCAGGTCCTTAGGCCTCAAAATGAAGAAGCTGAATCCATTTAAAGAAATGGCAGGAGGAGAAGAAGGAGGAGAATCATGAGAAAAAGCAATATGGTTTCATCACTTTGTGGTGAACCCATAATGATAGAACACAGTAACAAAAGAAACAGGTTGACAATGAGTCAAAGGAAGAGGATATTATGCAAGAACAAAATACATGAGTAGGAGTAAAATAAGGAATAAGTGGGGAAAGTTGTATGAAGCCTCAGAAGGTTCAAGGGTACAGGTAGAGCAGTCACGAAGACTTACAGTCGTATAATAAGAAAACAGAAGGTAAAAGTCACGAAGACTTACAGTAGTTGTATGATAAGAAAACAAGGTAAAGGTAGAGCAGTCACGAAGACTTACAGTCGTATGATAAGAAAACAGAAGGTAAAAGTCACGAAGACTTACAGTCGTATGATAAGAAAACAGAAGGTAAAAGTCACGAAGACTTACAGTCGTATGATAAGAAAACAAGGTAAAGGAAGAGCAGTCACGAAGACTTACAGTCGTTTGAGAAGAAAAGGGATGATAAGAAGGAATGATAGAGCCAGGCACAGGGAAGAAACTAATAACAGGAATAACGCAGGAAAGAACAGAAAAGGAAGGGGTACAAAAGCAAAAGTCACATACTGTGAGAGGGGACAGCTAAGGAAAGGAGATCTTCAAGTAACATTCAGGGTTACAACCTTGTTGAAATGATACCTCAAGCCACAAGCAGTAAAAACAATCATTGTGCCCTATGGATGGTACCTAATAGCATGTTAAAACATTAGCAAGAAAAACATTCAGTGGTTGTGTAAAAAAGACTTCACTCTCAATTAACTCACCAACCTGAAAAAAAACATTGAATCTGAGGTTCTTTGAACCTACAACATGCAAGCCCTCCAGTATTTAACTGAAGGTAATCTTTACAGATTCCAAGACAAGACATTCCAAGACATAAACCTTCAATACAATACTGAAGGTAATAACATTGTTTCTTCACACACAATGTGAAGATTAAATACATTGTTCCTTCAATACAAAGTTGAAGGTTAAAATACATTGTTCCTTCAATATTAAACTGAAGGTAAAGGACTGTTCCTTCAACACAAAGCTGAAGGTAAAATACATTGTTCCTTCAACACAAAGCTGAAGGCTAAAATACATTGTTCCTTCAATACAAAACTGAAGGGAAAAGACTGTTCCTTCAATATAAAACTGAAGGTAAAATACATTGTTCCTTCAATATAAAACTGAAGGTTAAAATACATTGTTCCTTCAATATCAAACTGAAGGTAAAATACATTGTTCCTTCAATACAAAGCTGAAGGTTAGGTTAAAATACATTGTCCCTTCAATATCAATCTGAAGGTAAAAGACTGTTCCTTCAACACAAAGCTGAAGGTAAAATACATTGTTTCTTCAACACACAGCTGAAGGTTAAAATACATTGTTTCTTCAATATAAAACTGAAGGGAAAAGACTGTTCCTTCAACACAAAGCTGAAGGTTAAAATACATGGTTCCTTCAATATAAAACTGAAGGTTAAAATACATTGTTTCTTCAACACAAAGCTGAAGGTTAAAATACATTGTTCCTTCAATATAAAACTGAAGGGAAAAGACATTGATCCTTCAACACAAAGCTGAAGGTTAAAATACATTGTTCCTTCAATATAAAACTGAAGGGAAAAGACATTGTTCCTTCAATATAAAACTGAAGGGAAAAGACATTGTTCCTTCAATTTAAAACTGAAGGGAAAAGACATTTTGCCTTCAACATACAACTGAAGGTTAAAATACAAGTTTAAGATACATGTTTCATATACAAATCATTGAATATACAAAAGGAAGAGTAGCAGAGTACAGGCAGTGTCCAAAGGGGGGGGGGCCGAATGTTACAGGTTTGTAGTTTTAGCAGGAAGCCGAAAGTTTCAATGGTTTTAGTTTTGAGGGGGGTCTTTTTTTGCTGCCGCCTCTGCTCTCTTTTGTGCCAACCATTGCTGCACGCTAAGGGAAGAAGAAGACTCACAGAATGTCTCTCTCCCAAAGCGGCTGTGGCCAAACTCCTTTAGTTTGGGCTTGCCACAAATGGAGCATGTGTTGCTTCCGGCCTTGCGCGAGTATTTGCGCTTTTGCTGTCCCTGATCCTCCTCCGTTGCCTTCTTCTTCCGGTACCACCTGGCGGACTTGGTGGAGCTGGTCACAGATGCAGCTGGAACCTGGGCGGCTACAGGAGGGATGTAGCCGCGTCCCATCTGCTGCTGTGTCACCAACACCACTGGTGGTGCAGGCATACAACGGATGTTGCGAGCCTGCCCAGCAGTGTTGGGTGGGCACGGGAAGACAAGGGGGGCGGGGTGGATGGCTGGCGCAATGCTCTCGGGCTTGGCACGGGGCTCTGGAGCTGGTACATCAGAGACGGTGCTGGCACTGGGTTGGCTGACTCCTTGTAGAAGGATCTGCCTCTCCTGTGCCTTCTGCCGCTTGTTGTACCTAAAACATAAAGGACAAATCAGTCACAGATAAAAAGCAACATTTTAAAGGTATGAGACGTCGAGACAAAATAATACATAACAGGTTTGAGAGAAACTTGAGCCAACTCACCACTGTGTGAGGGTGCGTGTGTTGATGTCATACAGCTGTAGCGAGGTCTGTGACATCAGGAGTACGTTGGATAAGACCAACTGCCGGATGTGGCTGTACTCCTTCATTATCACAGACCAACGCTGCGTCGTCACCCCAGCAGCGGTCTTGGTGGCTGTGGGGTGATCCGCACACAGCTGCAGACAGATGGCCTCAACAAGTCTGCTGGCGTTGGGCCACTGGGCGGGGCCAGCATTTTCCCCCACCATGCACCTGCAGCAAAATATGAACAGAGCATTTTAAACCACATTGTAAAGAGGTGGAGGAAGCATGATATATTGGTAAAACCTTTCTCTATGTAGGTCACTATTTTTGACTGTATAATTCTATCAAGGGCTACTCACCGTTTCACACTCTCCACGCCAGCGATGGAGGAAGACTTGGTAGCTTTAAACCTTCCCTTGGAGAGCTTCTTCTGGTGTCGAGCAGAGTAGCTCAGCCTCTCCTTGTCGGAGTCAGGAAGGCGCTCCCACAGCTTGACAAGTTCCTCCACCTTGCTGTCAGGCAGGCAGGTCAAGGTCCGCAGGCTGACCAGGGCCTTGGCCAGAGTCTGGACATGCTGGTATCCAGCAGCACCATCTGGACCATGACACTCCTGGAACACATTGAGAAAAATCATTTGTGTTAATGACAGGAGAAATGACTCTAAGTAACACTGTATCCTGAAGAACACAGACAACACATTGCTGACTTCTAAATTAATGCCTTACCTCTGCTGCTGAGGATGTGGAGGATTCAGGGGATGGAGACCGAGTCCCATCATCTCCAGTATCATCACAAGTCGCTTCCACAGTCTGTGCACCTGGTGAACTGGGCGCTTCAGCAGTCTGACCAGCAGAAGCTTCAGCACCTACACCAGGGGGAGTCTGACCAGCAGACACCAAAGGATATGCCACAGATGCGTTAGCTGCATCACAAGACATAGGAATTAAGGTTACAGTTGCCGTTGACATACTGCATAATAAATAATTCTTACATTCACTTAATGCGGGATTTACTACAACTACAATTGTACATACCGATGGTAGAGATGGTGGGATCCTCCTCACTGACATCCAGGTCCTCGAACCCTTCGTCAGGATCCACCTCGGTCTTCTCCAGGCCATCTGGTACATCAGGGTCGAGACAGATCTCCTCCATCTGTTTGCCTGTCTGGGCAAACAGATACTCTATCCCGAGCAGCTCCCCTGTATGAGCACAACAGTCAATATACATATTGTCATCCTTCATTATCTATAACATTATTTTAATGATATGATATGAAATAGAAGGGATCATATGCATACTCACCCGTGTACTGGCCTGGTGTGTGGAAGCCTGGACACAAGGATCGACCCAGCACTGCTTCACTGGCTCGGTTGACAGAGGACTGGAGCCAGCCACTGTAGGTTCGCAGGGAAGACGTTTCCCCTGCAACAGCAGCCACGGCTCTGTCCTTGTTCCACCGGACCAACCCTTCCAGCAGGTATGCCTGGAAGTGGGCAGCACTGGCACTCGTGCCTGAAACACATACAAACATAGCATCTGCTTACCACATCGTGGAAGAAAAGTGAATATAGAGAAAATGATGATACTAGTAACAAGACGAGTATGTAATACATTCATCATGACTGACCAGGAATGAAGCGTTGCAGGTGGAGGTGGAAGGACTCCAGGGAGGTGGAGCCCCTGCTGCAGCGGTAGGTTGGTAGCACCATCCCTCCCTTCAGCTGCATCCCAGTCTCCATGTACAGCTGGAATCCTGCAGGGTCCTGCAGGCAGCTGACATGGCACTGTTGGTCCTTCCACATCTGGCGGGCTCGCTCGTGGTCGAGGAGAGGAACACCCATGGTGTCCGTACCCTTGGAGCTGTCGTACGTATCGATCAGCTCCTGGATGAGGCGGGTAGTCTCCTCGGTCCCCCGTGTCATGCGGCGGCAATGGAGTTGCAACTCCTTCCTTGAGACAAAGCGAGCGGCGTCGCAATCACCTCTCCCCTCCTTGCTCAGCTCTGCTTGCTTTGCCCTCAGAAGGAGCGCCACATCACTGGGGTCCCACTTGAAGATGCAGTGGGACAGGCCGGCCACAAAGCTTGCATACAACGGATGGCTTTCAGTGGTGCAGGTGCTGGCAATCCTGCGCATGAAATGCCACACGTCGAGCCTTATGACCAGGTCATCCCACCCAGGGAACAGGGCCGTGGTCCGGGTGGAACAGCAGTCCCTGTCCACATACAGGAGTTTTGGTGCTTCAACTCCTGCATCACGGTACCTTCGAACCAGACCCTTACCCATGGGCTTCAGACCTTGCCCCTCCGCTGCCGTGAGGACTGACATCAGGATCTGACCGTGCTCGTTCCCAACGTTAGTCACCCAGGCAGCTGTCCCAGCTGCTGCACCGGCCAGCTTCTTGGTGACCTGTGGAAAGAAAAAAGAAATGTTTTTAACAAATTGCAATTGTCACTGTCACATTGTATACAAGTATACACAAGTGTATTGAGCCAAAACGTGAAATAAAACCAATAGACTGACTAACTAACCTTCTTTGTGGAGTCCATCTTGATGACGGTCCCGAAGATGGACGTCACTGAGGCCTTCACCTCCCCCAGCCGTTGCAGCACGTCCTTGGCATACACTGCCAGCAGCCACTTGGGCTGCGGAACGTCTGTCATGACTGGAGGTGCAGCAAAGGACGGACGTACCACCACACGGTTGATGAACTGCTCACAGTCGGTCAGGTAGTGCAGACAACGCTTCAGGTAGGCCTCGCTGTGCTGCTCCAAGATGTGCTTCCTGAGTTGCGTAACACTGTTACCCAGTGTCCGCTCCCTCAGGAATCGCAGCACGCGATAGTCACAGGAGTACCTGTAGGTCAGGATGGCTGGGAACAGACTGCGGTGCCCGGGGTCGAGCTGCCGCAGAATGTCACCAGACCATGCCGCAACCTTCTTGCCACACTGGGGGCATTCCAGGTACTCTGTGCCCATATAGTACCATCCATCCACGTCCAGGACTCTCCTCACAGTCCTGTACAGGCCTGCTGATGTTAGCCTGTGGGGAATAAATGGAATATTTGACACTGTCAAACTTTTAAAAAACAACTAAAAGAGTACTAATCCATAGACCTGTTATAGAGTCTTGCTCTCCAAGACATGACATATAATACAGTCCCTATACAATAACAGTTTACCAACCTGTCTCCGCTGCACTGTGAGTCGACACACCTCAGTCGTACAGCCCACATCCTATATGGCATCCACAGGAAGAAGGGCCTGCGGAAATAGGCATCTGGGCTGGCTGGGGCCTGGGGAAGGCACAAAACTGGCTGGGGAGGGTACCACCACAGACGGATGTCTGTGACCAGCTTTGGCCGACCAGCCACGTTCCGGAACATGGCTTTCCCAAGCCAGTCCCACTGCTCTGCTGGTAGCTGGGACAGCAACCAGGCAGTGGGCAGTGTGATCTGCAAACATAAGAAATGTAGGACAGGTATTAATTCAGCATCTAGCTAGTGTATGATGGAAAAGGCAATACAACAGTAAAAAAAGCAACAGTGCAAAAGGAAATGGAAAAATAGACAAGAGAACTCACTTCAGCAGACTGAGATGATGACTCTACCGCAGCTGGAGACGCCGTGTTCAGCCGGGATGGCAGAACTGCAGGCTGTGACAGTCCTTGCCTTGGCACTGGAGGCTGAGATGCCACTGGCCGAGGCCGTAACATCTCGCGCCTCAACGGCAGCACCGAAGGCTGGCTTGCCACAGCACGGGGCGTCATTGTGGAGGTAGCTGCAGCAGACTGTGGCCCCAAACGTCGGAACGTAGAGGACACAGGTGAAGGAGTCACCGCAGAAGGCCGCGCAGTCTGGGACACCTGCAGAGATGCCTCTGACTTTGACGACTGACCCTATAGAGCAAGAAGAGGTGTGTAGGTGGCAAAGCATACATACATGTATCTTCTAAGCAGGCTGGCTAATCATGTACTTTGCAATAAACAACCTTTGCAGTACTAACCTGGGATGACTGTGCTGCTGGCTGGGGCTGAGACTGGGACTCCTTCCACTGGATGGCGAACTTGCGGAAGGTGTCCATGGGACTCCCGATCTTGGGACTCTCCCCCAGCACCCACTTCACGTAGCTGAACACAAAAATGAGAAGTTAATCAACTTGAACTGCAAGAACCACCTTTCTGTACCAATTTTAAGGGAAGCAACAAAGCAAAATATTATGTCAGGGGAATACATACGTCTCATGGCCCTTGAGAACATCCTCGTAGGTCTTGTCCCTATACTTGCCAAACCCCATCACAGACCCCAGCCCAACCTGGCACACAGACTGTGAGGACTGCGTCACAGCCTGCGCGCCGTCACGGGTTTGGCGGTCCCGGACAGCCTGTGCAACTCCTGGGCAACGGAGTGCATAACTACCAAGGTCATCCTTGTTAAGCATGTAGGCAGACTCGGACTTGTTCGTCCGCCTTTCATGCTGGTGCTTGGCCAGCAGTGAGATGACATAGCCCATGTCATTCTCACACAACCACCGAAAGGAACGACCCTGGTACTGGCCAAACAGGATGGTGTCAGGGACAGGGTTGGCAGGGGAGGGGACAGACCTGTGTCGCTTCTCCACAGCCTCCATAGTGGGCTGCAGCACAAGCCCACCACCACGAAGACGGCGGACGTTGGAGAACTAAGTTATGAATAATGAAAGAAACAAGAACTATAAGTCCTGACTGAGTGCTATGATAGAATAGAATAGAATAGAATAGAATAGAATAGAATAGAATAGAATAGAATTAAAATTGCAAACAAGGAGTATTGGTGAAATATTCCTAACAGACCAACACAGGTCAACCACAAGTATTGTGAAACAATGTGATTTGTCAATATTATCACAGACAGGCACAGATAAGTTATAGAATCACATGTACTTACGTCCTCAGACCCTGAAGAGCCAGCAGAAGAAGACATGACTGTAAAAATAGAAGCCTAGGTATTACTTATAGTTATACTTATGGTCTCTACATTTCACTCAGCATGGTTTCTATACAATCTATCAGCTCAACAAACCATGTTATCATTCTAAGCTTGTACAAATTAGGTGTGAACAACAACCTAAGAAAACAAGTCGTTTGTTACGGTAAACTTGTTGGCAAATGCGACCGCTTTACATATATTATCGCTGATTTTGAAGGCATGTGCAAGTGGCGATTATTTACACAACAAAAGTTCTCCGAATCAAAAGCTTCAGTCACGGCGTATCAGAACACAAAATACACGAAAACACGATCAGATTCACTCAACATCTTTCGAAATCAAAAGCAGCTGAATGGGTGCATTTCAGAGCGAAATTAAGGATAGAAATCCTTGTTAATTTTTAGCGGTGCCATGTGCTCAGGTCCCCGTAACATCTGCTTGGAGTCGGTCGTTACACTCCGATAAAGCATAAAATAAACATCCAGACTAGAATTCCGCACAGAGAGTCATGCAAGGCTGATACAAAAAATGATGTACTGTCAAGTTTTTCCCGATACACGGGTGAATAAATGTCAAAACAGCCAGAAATTACGCTAAATACATCGGCGTGCATCACTCGGCTTACCGTGCAGTACGTGCAGTACCAGTCCAAATAACGGTCCAAAACAACATCAATAAACAACCATCCAGTGTCAAAAATTACATTAACAGCTGAAGATATGTCTCCACTAACCTTTCACGGAGGATGAAACAGTTGTCGTGAAGAAAACAGCAGAAAAACGACAGTAGACTCGCTCCTCTACAGTCAGCTTCCTCAAACAATGGCGGACCTCAACTCCCTCGAAAGTTCTCATGCTACGTCACGTCACAACTTTCTCGCAAGCTGATTGGTTATATTTTAGGACCAATTTTAGGACCATCCAGCTGTCTGATTGGTGGACTGGGTCAAATGTTAGGACCAGGGCGCTTGGTGATTGGTCGAAAAGTCCTAAAATTGCAGAGAAGATCGGGTCTAATCAGGCGCAAGGATGNGGGATGACTGTGCTGCTGGCTGGGGCTGAGACTGGGACTCCTTCCACTGGATGGCGAACTTGCGGAAGGTGTACATGACAGTTCCGATTGTAGGTTTCGACCCCAGCACCCACTTCACGTAGCTGAACACAAAAATGAAAAGTTAATCAACTTGAACTGCAAGAACCACCTTTCTGTACCAATTTTAAGGGAAGCAACAAAGCAAAATATTTTGTCAGGGATATACATACCTCTCATCGCCCTTGAGAACATACTCGTATGTCTTGTCCTTATACTTGCCAAACCCCATCAAAGACCCCAGCCCAACATGGCACACAGACTGTGAGGACTGCGTCACAGCCTGCGCGCTGTCACGGGTTTGGCGGTCCCGGACAGCCTGTGCAACTCCTGGGCAACGGAGTGCATAACTACCAAGGTCATCCTTGTTAAGCATGGAGGCAGACTCGGACTTGTTCGTCCGCCTTTCATGCTGGTGACTGGCCAGCAGTGAGATGACATAGCCCATGTCATTCTCACACAACCACCGAAAGGAACGACCCTGGTACTGGCCAAACAGGATGGTGTCAGGGACAGGGTTGGCAGGGGAGGGGACAGACCTGTATCGCTTATCCACCGCCTCCATAGTGGGCTGCAGCACAAGCCCACCACCACGAAGACGGCGGACGTTGGAGAACTAAGTTATGAATAATGAAAGAAACAAGAACTATAAGTCCTGACTGAGTGCTATGATAGAATATAGAATATATTGCAAACAAGG